TGAGCTTGTTCCATTTATTACTACGTAGTTAGATTTTTGACTGTGATCACAGGCAAAGTCTATACTTAATATTTTTCCCAACAACTATTAAAATACGTATTTAGTCGAGTCCATATACCTTTAGGTAATGCGTATATCGTTAAATGCAATCACATTTGAACAAAATTTACATCAATATAATTTACGTACTTACGTTATTCTACTCATATACAAAATCCAATTATATGGTCGTTTGATAGAACTTCATCAATTTGATTCAATGTTCTAATTGTCCAGTTTTGGAAAATACTTATTGAATCAACTATTGAACTATTACAATACTAACTAGTTTCATATCTAGTTATTATAAAGTATTTATTTATTGAGGATAATAGACTAAAGTGACTATGGTCTGGTCTCATTGCTGGGGAAACAGCCATTGATGAGAGAGAGGGGTTATTGAGTGGCGACCCTGTAAATGCAAGTGCGGTGTGGGCTACCTCCATTGTTTGGAGTGACTGTTTTATGTGTATTGTGGGGCCGTTCCTTGTGTCAGTCGGTGGAAATTGCCTGTGTTCAGTCGTGGGTTGGTGATGGTTGAGACGATGATGATGATGAAATATTTGTATTTATTACACTATTACAGTGTTGGTTTGGAATATCTGTTCATACTTAACGCTTCATGGTGAAGTGTTTTTATACCATTACTCGGTCGACCAGATTAATGATTCTTAGTCTATATTTGATTATCCATGACTACATGTGGGGATTTGTTTTACACCAGATGTACAAAGAGACAGCTTAACTGTTGTAAGTGATATTATGTGAATGTAATACTTTTAATACATTATTAATTGTGTTACTAGATAAATTCATGTGACTGTGGGGTGTTTATGGTAAACAAGCCTGTATTGTTTAAATAGATATTTTGTCTTGATTTATTATAAACTTTAATATTGATTTTGTTGTAGTAAGCAAGCTGATAATAACAATTCTGTATGTATTACTGGTTTCTAATAATATTTAATTATGCTGATATTATGGGTGTGGATTTATTTCCTAATGGTAATAAATGTACTAAAGGATTCTCTGACTATAGTTATTATTATCTAGGTATGAGATACAGTATAAAATTAGTACTAAATGACAAGTATGAGTTATGTATTTTACTCATATTTAGAAAGGAAGTTGTCCTGGCAATAAGGTTTGTATGTGTGTTGTTTGTTCATGTTATATTGACTAGACAAGTTCAGACAGGGTTAATATTAGTGAATATTTACTGGATTTATATTTAATATACATGTTTTGACTATTTTATGGGAATAGTATGGAGATATACAAGTAGTAAAATATAATATTAGTATTTTATAAATTTAATTATTGAGTTATATGTTTATGTCGGACTGTATCCAAGGAGATATTATCCTATTAATATCAAGTTAGGACAATTACTTTAAATATTAATAAAGCAAACACTAACACTGATTATTCACTTCTTTAATAAATTTACATTAGAGGTTAGAAATCAAATAGATAGCATATTGGGAAAATCTTCACCACACATGTATTTGAGGAATGTTCTTGATAATTGGTACTGTGTGTATATGTTATTGCAAGTACAATTGCAATAAGAATGTTAAACTTCTAATCTTCTGTTCATTCTTGAAATTGAGAGTTGGCTTGGCTACTGATGTGAATATAAAACTGCAGTATTGCTGAATACTATTAATTATTACTGGTGTAAACCATGATTATTTATATCACTGATATTTTAGTTATATATTACGGTTGATATATGATGATTTTATATTTAATTATATTAAACAAATACAAATAAACAAATTTGCTAGTATTTGTTACGTTGACAGTTGTGATAGATAATCAAAATTCAATTCAATACATCAATACGTCATTTAATACGTCATTAATGTGACAGATGTCAAACAAAAGGAGATTATACACGTTATGATTCTATATCTAAGTCTATAGAAAATTTATATAATTTTCTGTTATTTTATAATAACTGTGGGGAAATATTGGAATTATTTATATGAGAAATTTCACTTAAATGATATGATAATTATTTAAAGACCTAATTTCTTAGGGATTTAATCACGATGATTTAAACACTAAAACACTTGTTTATCTGAGAAATCCTCTTATTAAATAGGTTTACTAAGACACTAAAAGGAAGTAGATATAGTATAACTATAGTACAGCTACAATAATTGTATGGGACTTACTGTCCTTTCTATACAAATATATATTTAATATATATCTTTCACATTATAATTATGCAATATATTGCCTCTACTACTACAACATACACAAATAGGACTTATTGTCCTTCCTATATACCTATATATAATAATTGACCTGGCACTTTAATGTGTAATTTATCAGTACTTATGACAACAACCAATTAGGACTTATAGTCCTCTCTATAAAGTTACATAAATATTTAATCTGATTATTTCACACTGTGATTAATCAAACCTCTATAAATATTACAAAAGATCTCTATTACTCTCAACACAATAATAGCTTGTTGGACTTAGTGTCCTCAAACTTATAGAAAACCCAACTGGTTATTTCACGAGACGTTGTTAACTTGTGATTAATCAGTGTCTTTTAAAGGACTTATAGTTCCTTTAGATATATCTCTCTGAATAAATAATTGGTTAATTCACAATGTGGTTAATCAACAATAATATTATATATAATTGACTGGACTTATAGTTCATTCAATAGCACTCATTACTTTTAGTAGCTCTTGACCCATGGGTTGGACTACTCGTTCTTAGGCTCTGGCCTAATCAACAGATTTAACTTGAACCTTGAGTATTCTTGTTATTAAGTAAATAATATTAAATTGACAATGCTATGTTATGATATAGCAATTATCAACATTATATGGCTTGGCCAATTCCAGGATGTGGAAGGTATCCACTATCACACAAATCTTCATCTCTATCGGACTGTCTTCACAGGTGATCTCTAATGTCACATTATAGGGCCGAAGGGTTATGTCCCAACAAAGTAAGTTCTGGTGTCTGGGTGATCTCGCTTCTTGGTCTGATCTCTTGTGGAGCCGAAGGGAAACCCCCATTGAGTAAGCTCGTAACAGGGTGACGCTGGGAAACAGTTTCGTACTGTTAGTGGGTGATCTCTATGTCGCCATATAGGACTGAAAGGGTCATCGCCCATGAGTAAGCTCTCGTGTCGGAGTGATCCTGGGATTTCAGTTCCGATCCTTTTGCCTCTGGCAAACACCAATTTATACTGGAAGCATCGTGGGGCTGGTGGAGCCACTGTAATGTTGAAGTAAATGTACTTATGTTTGGTTTGGAACTGAGAATACTCATGCCCTTATTACCATCAGAGTGCATTAATAAATAGTAATACCCTTCCCTACCTTTTTAGGAGGAAGAGTTATAGATAGTTGGAAAGTCTTCCACTGGTCCGGGCGTGTGAGGGGCCCGACCGCTCCCCCATTTTTTTTATTATTACAGTTATTCTGTAATTTACTATTAAATTAATATATTATATTCTAACTTCCTAGTTACATGAATTATGAGTATAATTCATTAATTATTCTTAATCCTTAAATATTTATCAATCATCTTCATTATTTAACTCCTATCATATACCAATTAAAGAACCTTTTGGTTATTACACACACAACGGGTCCTACATTACTAGACGATCACACATTTATTTATCTGGCCAGATGATCAAGTGTTCTACTAAAGATCTGTTCAATATTATGTGTTTATTGTAAGGTTTTTTTTTTTTAGATTTATAAGATGTTTAGGGTGTATAAGGTAATATAGGTATGGGCTATATTGAGGGTGTTAGGCCTTTCTTTAGGGTAGATTTTCATTATATTTTCATAGATTTCATTAGGTAAAGCCTTCGTAGGCTTTTCTTAGGCTTTGTAGGTTTTCCATGTGTAGGTTTAGTTTAGAGGGTAGTTAATATATAAAGGGGTACACATAGGGAAAGGGGGGGACCATCACAATATGTAATTATAAATGTGGAAATGAGATTGTTTGTTTGTAACCTCATACTGCTTTAACATCCTAATAAATCGCTATAAAATTGGGTATTCACGTACTACAAGTCTATGTCCTTTTCCATCCTACAAGGATGGATAATGACGTAGACTTCTTTCTCTCCCAATTAGTGAACATATCTTGGTTACGTGAAAAAAGTTTTATATAAAAGTTAGTTCGAAATATGACTACATACCAAGCAATTTGACTAATAGTAATACACATAATACATAATAGTAATATACATATATAAAAGAATCAAAAACACAAATTTCCATTTTTTTTTTATTTATTACACACCATATCTGTGCCAAACACTCATAGATATAGAATAACACATGTAGATAGGTACATTAACAAATTGTTATTCTCCTGGCAACCCTAAAGTCGTATGCGTTGACACAAACTTTCCTTTACTTTATGTTTATCTCCCTTTGCCCACTTAAACGTATGTAATCGACGAAGTTTCATCATTAAGCACCTTGTTGAAACTGACTCGTTACCAAAGTCAATCAAAGATTTTTCTACTTTTCGCTATCGAACTTAGAATATAAAATCGTACTACCAAATGGAATTTGTAACTTTTAATTTTCTCTAGTTTTATTTTTGTTTGGTGCGCAATATTCTTTAGTAACGACACTTTCTTACATTTTTACACACAATATTATAAGAAATATAATAAAAATAAAATACACAGAATAAAATTCTAATCACCTGCATTCTTTAAAAAGAAGTTTTCTATCAGATTTTTTCCATAGAAACATGGACATCTAGCTATTGAGTTACTACGGGAGACTCGCCATTATTTCCCTATTTTATAAAGTAAAAAAATATCCAAATGACATTGATTTTATTCGGTATAAAAAGTACTTCTGGTATTATTTTTTCGTCTTTGTAGGTATCGATTGGCAAGTGTTTAATTTTATTTAAATTATAACCTAATTACATTTTTATTTTTTGTTACAGGCAACACCGATTACACAACGAGTTTGAAACGACAAAATAATTTTTAATAATCATCTTGGTAATGAATAAAAATTATGAATGTGACATATTTTATACTTCAATAATACCTACATTGATATGAATGTGTGTTATGTAATTTTATTTGCTTGCTGTGATCATTTTTGGTACTTAATAATAAAATATTGTATTTTAATTGTAAAATTAAAACTTAGTATATAATATATTATCATGTTGAATAAGTATGTAAATATTTATGTCTATTATTTAGATTTAATTTTCAATGTTAGTTCATAAATTATAATACATAGAAGCTATACAAATAATTATATTTAGTATATGAAAAAATAAACAAATATACTTTAAATTGTGCAAGTATCCAAAGGCCTACGTTAAGATTTCATTTTGTTGTAGATAATTTTTTTAGAAAATAAAATGTTAGTGACTAAGTTTATAAAGCTTTGTAGATTTTGATTGGTGTTTTTCACAATAAACTTATGAGCCCTATTTCAAACTTATAATCTGAATAAGTTTTCGCCAGTTTATGAATTAAAATTGTATATAATTATTATATTAGAATATAAATTATTATATATTTATATTAATTATTTTTTTTAATGGCGAAAATCATATTCCCTATTGAACGTAGCTAACGAAGCGGATTAATTTGTTGTTTCAAATTATTTCTTTTTTTTTATTGAGAAAAACTTGATAGTTATACAAAGGCCTCATAATTAGATTTAAATAATCAAGGATATGAATTCTATCATTATTTGTAATATATCCACAAAAAAAATTATTAATTTGTATAATATTTTCTCCATGAAAAAAAAAATCTAAATTTTTTGTGTTAAAAAACGATACATTTTTCTCAAAGAATGAATAAGAAATTCTATTTGTTAACATATAAATTATTATTTTTGAACATTAGCTTAATTACATTATAATTATCTATATTAATATTATAAAGAGAAAAGATCTGATTGTTTGTTTGTAATAGATAAACTCAAAAACTACTCAACCGATTTTAATAATTCTTTTACCTACAGAAAAACGCATTATCAACAAATAACATAACCTATATATTATTTTCGAATATTCTATCTACCCGAGCAAAGCCGAGTAGGGTCGTTAGTGTTTTATATTTCACTTAAATTACTGGGAAAATAATTTTCTGTAGAAGTTAGTTTCTAATTTTTGCCAGACGCTACGTTTTATAGGTAAGTATTAAAGTTTGAAATTTTGAGTTTATTAAAAAACACAAATCAAATTTTAAAATATAATATATAAATATATTTTATGTAAATATTTAATTTTAAAAGAGTTTAGGAAAAGAAAGTAAATTATTACAAATTGTAAATAATTCGTCAATGTAATTATATAACAAATCGCTTTCACTTAAAAATTTTAATAGTTTATATTAGCATACATACTAGCATTACGTTAGTAGGATAAATGTTTGCTGTTGGAATTATAATATTGTGGAAAATAAATGAGGCTGGTTTTTTATTGTTTTATTTTAATTTTTCACACAGATACCATCTTTTGTTAATGGCAAACAAATTGGCCGCCTATCTGATGAAAAGCGGTAACTTTTGCATACAGACGAATAAAAGCTTAATATTATCTTGTACTATACTGTAATTACTTCAAGAACTGCTATCCCGAAGAACAAAGGTATGAATTTGGTTCACTTTGAAACCAAAACATAACTATAATAGGGTAACAAAGTAAATTTTTTTAAAACCACGAAGGTGGCGAAAGAAAAGTCTGATGGTAAAAGGTTACTGTAATCTACGGACGCCTGCAATACTAGAGGTGAAGAAACCTTAATATACGCTTTTTGAAAAACCCCATCCAATAGTCTTTAAAGGAAACTTCGGCAGGAAGCTCATTTCACAACCTGAATGTTCACAGGAGAAAATTCCTCTGAAACCGCACTGTACGTGACCATTTACATAGGTTAAAGCAATACACCACTGAATATGACACAGCGTGAGAGAAAGAATATTATAATTCTTAACAAAACTAAACACCTACAATGTTACCTGAATAGCGAGTTAATAGTGGGCTATTTGCATACTAACTCCCTGAAATACATTTGAGGTTGTCACTCCATATTATGCAGGCAGTCAGTGGATGCAAGTGGCTCAGGAGCGTTTTATGACACACTTACGGAAATGCCTATGTTCAGCAATGGACAAATAATGATAGAGGATGCCATTTAATTGATTGATTATGTACAAGATGAGTTTTAAAACGTTTTATTGCTATAAAATTAAGCTCTTACTAGCTTTTAGTGTTTCTACCGTGAAGTAGTTGTACTTGCATGGCTGTATTTCGGTTTGAAGGATGAGATATGGCGTGAATTTACAGGGTACAGAGGTATAACATCTGAGTCCTCAGGAATAGCAACGCATAAGGGGTATCATGGGCGAATAAGTATACTCTGTTATGTCCATGGTACTGCTCATGTCTATAGGCGACGGTTACCACTTTCCATCAGGTGGGCCGTCAGCTTGTTTGCCATTCTAAGTTGTATAAAAAAAACTTACCTATGTCCAACAGTGAATTGAAATAGAAGTAAAGAGAATTTATATAAGAGTGGTTCTACAAAGATACACTAATGGGATGAACATTATTAATGATTATAAAAAAAATATTTTAATACTAATGATATGAACAATTAAATATAGGTATCATTAAAGCGACTTATCGAAATTTATTTCAAATTATATTTAATAACTTCAGAGGCAATATCTATCAGATAAAGCTTTATGACTCGCCGCTTACATTTGTCGAGCTCGTTTCCTCTGAATTGCTTAATAATGTAACTCGCATATTATGCACATCTGGGAGCGAGCAGAGGTGATAAAATTTTATAGATCAGTCGTCCAATTTTAACTTTTAACTCAATTTGTGTGAGTAAAGTAGGTGAATAGATTTTGGTTACATTGAATTACGAGTATTTTGTATTGCCTTGTATGAAATTATTTGAAGTGTCAATTGTTTTATGATATTTGGAATGACTTACAAGCTCTCGAGTCTTCTCATGTAAAGGGTAACGCCGATACTTATAGATATAAAGTACCATATATATTACAAAATATACTATAATTATTCATGGTACCTCATGCCACGGTTACCACTTTCCATCAGGTGGGCCATCTACTTTTTTGCCATTCTAAGTTGTATAAAAAAAAATGCCTTGCCATTCCTGAGGACGATAGTATTATGCCTCTATATATTTTGTATTTATTGAAAGAAACAAAAAATTTTTTTAAGCTTTTATGTACCTTAAAAGTGCAAACAAGCAGAAGGCCCACCTGATGGAAAGTGGTAACCGTCGCCTATAGAGATGAGCAGTCGCATGGACATAACAGAGTATACTGTTTCGCCCATGCGTTGCCATCCTGAGGACTCAGGTGTTATTCCTCTGTACCCTGTAAATTTACGCCATATGCCACCCATCAAACCGAAACACAGCCATGCAAATACAACTATTTCACGGTAGAAACACGAATGTGTACTTCTATACAAAGTCTCTTTCTGGTGTTACCATATTAGCCTTTAACTATCTACTGCTGAACATAAGTCTCCCCCTTGGGCGATTTTGCCTGTAGTTATCACGCTTGGCAGGGGGATTGGCAACCACAGTCAGGGCTTTAGAGATGTTAAAAAAAGGACGCTGCTACCCATTCCTTGCCCTGCCTTAGTCGGTTTTAAGGCAGAGCAAGGGCATTTTTGCACCGGGACCATACGGCCAAGACTACTTTTTTAATATCAATTTAAAATTAGGTTCACTTCAATAAGAAGTATTTTTGTTCTTTTGTAGTAATTTTTGTCTTTATAAAGTTTGACGGATTGAATAACTGAATAGAGAACGAGACGATATTCAGTAAATTTAATATTCAATCTTATTCGATCAGAAACCACTCACAAATTATATTTATTCCTATCTCGTTATAGAGAATTTTACTCGAGAGTGGTAACACCAATACAAATTGCCTTTTTATCCCTAAAAAATCCTCGCATATATTTCTTCTATATCTTGACACAGTATGAATCGTACTAACATTATATATATGAAACTTTGAACACGTTTGAATATTTATTACTCAAACATATTGAAACGGCTTAACGGATTTTAATGAAAACTGACACACAAAAGGATCAATCAAATTGACAGAATTATAAATAAATCCATATTAATATTTTATTTATTTATTAGTACATGTACTTATGTATGCAAGGCTGACTTAATGGTAAAAGCATTTTCTCCCAATAAACCTTAGGGAAGTATCAAAATACTCGAATTATTACTAGTAAGTAAGTAATAATTCATACATACGTACATACTAAAAGTTACATATATAAACAAATAACAAATATACTTACAAATATATAATATATATACTGTATTATACATGTATATAGGAATATTAATTAATACGTACTATTCGGATAAAATATTAAATTGATCATAATCGTTTTTTTTAATACGGTTTAGTCGACAGTCGCTTCTTGGTAACAGCGAGAACGTTCCAGAACGTGTCACAGGAACGTAGGTTACGATCGTGAGATTGAAAATTGAGTATTGAAATTTGCTAAGTAATTAGAAGACTGCGAATTAATATATTAAAAATATAAATAATATTATCATAAATATTATTAATATTATAAATTAGAAAATAACTGTCTGCTTATCTGTTACCTTTTCACGCCTAAACTATTTAACCGAATTGGAAGAGTTTTCATTTAAAGATAGATTGGGCCTTGGAGATAAACATAGTCTACGTTTTGTCGCAAAAATAAAACTGGAAGGTGGCGAAATAGATGTAAGTTTGTATAGGGAAACAATCATTTCTAAAATAAAGGTTTATTAAACTCATCATAATTAAATTTTTCGCAGGAAATAATTCATATTTAAATTTATGTCAGATAATGTCAGATATGTCAGATGTAATGTCAGACAACAAAATATATTTTGTTAGTAACAGACTTAAAATTACATTAGCAAAAAGAGTTACAGTGTGTCTGCGTTTTTAAGGTACTAAGCAGACGTAGAAGTCACGGACATCAGTTAATGTAAAATAAATGTAACAGTGAAGTTGTTTTATATAATTTATGTGAAAAGTTAATTGTCATTTGGTCTGTATTTCTTAGAATTCATAAGCCGTCGGTGTCCCTGAAACTTTTAACGCCAGAGAGCGCCACTCTTATTTTTATTAGTATAAGTTCTATTGTTATACCTTTATTTATTTCCCTTCGACAACTATTCTAATTATTCCACAAGTTTCCCTTTAGGAAGGAAATCATAAGAAGTCGTTTGTTCATAAAATATTGAGGGCAAATAAGATTGTCTAAATCTTATAAAGAAACTATTTCGATATCAAATAAGGATTGTTAAGTTCTTTATTTGTTCTTTTGGGACAGTAATATAGGTATTTGGTAGGTAAATAAAGAAAAATAATATTTACTCACACTTATATATATACTCGTATTTATCAGAAGGGGACTTTGTACAAAAGTATTTTGCTTGGGCACTTCAGTCCCATTAGTATTTCTACCTTCAAGCAGTTGTAGTCGTATGGCTGTGTTTCGGTTTAAAGGGTAAGATATGGCAGTGAATTTACAGGGTGCAAAGGAATAACACTTGTGTCCTCAGGATTGGCAACGCATGGGCGAAACAGTATACTCTGTTTTGTCCATAGTTACTGATCATGTCTATATGCGACGGTTACCACTTTCCATTATGTGTTTGTAAATTATAACTATTGTGAACAAAGGTTGATTTATTTCTGAAATAGATCTCTACCAGCCAATCCATTACAATGAGAAAACATATAGTTATCACAATTCAAAATTAATTTGACTTCATCCTCCTATCGGTTCTTACTGATGGGCCGTCAGCGTTAACTAATAACACACGTGAGGTTGACATTCCATTATCATCTATTGAAATAAAATAGTTCTTTGAATAAACTCATGTTACAGTATGAATACATGAGGAGAGCCTCGAAGTGCTCAGTCGCTCAAGTGGTGAACTATGCATATACTATGCACTATGTATACCGTTAGCGCAGGCGGGGTTACTATTCCATTATTGTTTATCAAAAAAAAAATCCTGTAACTGGTTTTCTGACGAGGTTAACGGTAATAGGACTATAAAGATGATATCAGCTAATGTAACCTCTGAACTCTGCTCATTATTATATGTAAGCGATAAAAACCGGAGAGATAAATCATTTGACACGTTGGACACAATTCTTTCATTACATTTCAGTATTAAAACAGAATCGACAATTTCACGACTGACCACATTCCATAGTACACAACATGTTCACATTAAAAAGGTCTTGTAATTGTATTCCAATCGGAGTAAAATTGGAAAACGATTTTGTTCAATTACCTCGTATTTGGACGCAGTTGTTCATTGTCCACTTTCCTGTCACATAGAGAGCCTAGTTTAAAAACTGTCACTTATGTTAATAATAATTTGTTT